CTGCCCAGCACTGCCCTGGGCTGGGAGCAGCGGTCACCTGGACAGTGGTGGGGGCTCTAGGCCAGGGTCCCCGCCCCCCACCTCCAGGGGGTGGGGCTTCCCTCCTTGCAGAAGCTGAGCACATGCGGCCTCCTCCCAGACCTGCTCTCAGCTGGACAAGGGTGGGGGTCTCGCAGGGCGGGCCCTGGGCTTCCTGGACATAGCTGGGACCTGACGGTGTCAACCACACCACACCTGCTGCGGTCAAGTCCATTGGAACACACAGCAGCCCTACCGGTCAGAGTGGGACTGACCCCTAGGGTTCCTCCCAGGCTCACATGCAAGGCTGTGACTTCAAACCACTGATACCTCAGCTACCAGTCAAGCACTTAACCATTGCACCACCAGGCTCCTGATGGTCCACGGGAGTGTGGAATATGGGGGGGGGCACATGAAGCAGGCCTGACTCCCCTTTCCCTGGGGCTCAGACCTCCCCAGCTAAGATTACCGCCCCAGCCGTGACGACCACCCCAGACCCCCTTCCCACTCCCGCGCTGCCTGCAGCGGCCTCGCAGACCCTCCGGGCAGCGCCCCAGCTCCCAGCTCCGCACGTTCCCACCCGCACTGGCGGCAGCCCCACCCACCGCGGCACCTCTTTCTCGGCAGCGAAGGGGCTGCTCCCTGGGAAGGCTTTGCCTTGGGCACCGTCCCGGTCCGATGACCTCTGCCGGGGGCTCCGGCCTGCTCTCCAGGGCTATCCATGGCGCCCGGCCCAAGCGGTTCCCAGCCCCCAGCGCCTTGCCGTACCCCCTCCTGGAACGCACATCTCACGGACTGGGAGGAGGAGGAGCAGGCTGGGTGGCCATGGCCAGGCCACCAGGGGGCACTGTGCACCCACAGAGCCAGCCCTTGAGCAGGCCAAGCCCCAGGCCAGTAGCCAGAGGACAAAAATGCTCTGGGATGGTGGTAGGGACTAAACTGTGTCCCCTAGATACTCAGGTCGCGGGTCCCGACTTTTGTGCCGGTAGTTCTAAGCCCCTCTAGGCAGGGGTTGTCTTTCCCAGTTTCAGGAGGCGGGATAAATGCGTGATGTGCCTTGACTCAGTCTCTTCTGAGATGGAATAGGAAATTAGACACAAGCTGGCCAGCAGAGATGGGGTAATAGAACAGATGCCCGGCAGAGGGCGCTCCAGGGACCCAGGAAGCAAAGCCGCAGACACAAGACCTGCCTCCAGAGCCGACAAAGCCTCCCCTAGCGCTTGCTCGTAATGCCACCTTCTGGATCCTAAACAGCAAGAAAATCAATGTGCTTGTTACAGTCGCGAGGGCACTGCGACTTTGCTTCCGGCAGAGTGGGCACTACTGGCACGAGCCCCTGCACAGTTGAGATGCTTTGGGCAGTGGGTCAGGGGAGAGACTCAAAGAGTTCTTAGGTGCTTAATAGTAAACATTTAAGGAGCCTTGGTGTCACAGTGACTAAGGCATCTGACTGCCAATCAGAAGGTTGGAGATTGAAACCCACCAGCTGTGGAAGGAAAATGGGGCAGTCTCCTTCCGTAGGTATTTATCGTCTTGGAGATCCAGTGGGGGCCACTGTGAGTCAGCATCGACTTGGTGGCAGGGAGTTTGTTTTTGATAGTAAACACTTTGGTCACCTTGGAGAGACTGTTGGTAGGATCACGGATGTCAAAGACGATTCTGAGGACCCAGAAGCAAATGAGGAAGTGAGAGCTGTCACGTCATGGGGACTGCGGTCAGTGTCAGAAGCAACGTGTCCAAACTGCTGTATGGAAAATGAGTTGCTCTGTAAACTTTCACCCAAGTACAGCTTGAAAAGAACTGAGAGCTACTGAGACAGTCTCTATTATCTTGGGGAACACACATGGCAGCAGCAAGGGGACGGTGCTCGACGTTCAGGGTGGTTCCGGTGAGGCTTCAGGAGAAAACGATGAGCATGTGAGGGGACAGTGGAGGAAGGACGAGGCTTTCTAAGCAGCGGCAAAGAACTTGCCTGAGTGACGTTCAGACGTGTGGTGGAAGGTGATCCAGCCGAGGAGATGTCTAAGCAAGATCTTAAAGGGTCTGTGTGGTTTCTCTTACCACTTAAGTAAAATGTTAGAGGAAGGAGAAGGACTCAATGCACCGTGGGAGATGAAAACAGGACGTAAAGATACGGGAAATTCTATGTGTACTAAGGACGTGGCTAGACAGTCAACGTGCTAGAGAGGTTAAGCTGTGGCTGGTGGATCTAACCAATTACTTGGCAGAAAACCCAGTAGCTCAGACTGAAGGGGCCAGAATGAAAGGAAAGAACACTGTGTGCCTCTCAAAATCGTACAGGCAGGGAGCGGGGCAGAGGAGCTCATCTGTTGTCCCCAGGAAAACAGAAGGCCTGGCCCTGGAACAGCTCGGCCAGCAGCTGACTGGCTGGAAGCACGGGGCAGGGGCTTCTGATCCAAAGCGTGAGGCTGCAACCCCCTGGGCTCCGGAGCCCGCTCTTCCCTGGCCCGGTTCTGGTTCTGGAGTGTGGGGCTGCTGTTAGGTGCCACAGGGCTGGGCTGCCATGCCAGGGGGTGGAGAAACGGGCTGCCAGGGTCAAGAGTGTGGGGTTGCCACTCAAATGGACTAGGAGAATGGGGCCACCAACAGCCCAAGAAGGCCTGAAAGGTGAGGCCTCCACCACAATCCAGAAGGCATGGCTAACACCGAGCCTGCAGGGCTGGGCCATCACTCAGATGGTCTCAGAATTATTTTTCAAGACTTGGGAGCTAACGCAACTTTTTTCCCCACTGGGTTTTGGACTTGCTTGATGCCTGTTAGCCCTGGTGGCACAGTGGTTAAAGAACTTGGCTGCTAATGGAAACGTCGGCAGTTCAAACCCACCAACTACTTCATGGAACAAAGATTTGGCAGTTTGCTTCTGCAAAGATCAACAGCCTTGGAAACCCTCTGGGAGCAGTTCTACTCTGTCCTCTAGAGACCCTGTGAGTCAGACATGGACTCCACGGCAGTGGGTGTGGTTTGGGCTTTGCTTCCCTGAAGATTGACAGCCTTGGAGACCCTGTGTGCAGTTCCACTCTGTCCTCTAGGGGTGCTGAGTTGGAATCAAGGGCAGTGCATTTGGTATCTGTTCTGGTGCGGCCATCCCTCCGGTTTCTCCAGTCTGTGATGGACTGCTGACCTGTGCCTGTCCCACCATTGCACTTTGGAGACAGATCGATTGTATCTGGATTTCACAGGTGCACAGATGAAGAGGCATTTTGCCCCAGGATGGACATGCCCGACATCTCACCCAGGTGGGGTTTATATGACTCAGGAGAGGAAGTCTGGGACTTGGAGTTGAGGGTGGACTTTAGGGATGATGGGATGGGGTGGGTGTGTTTTGCACGTGGGAAGGACATGAACTTTTTTGGCCAAAGCATGGGATGTTATGGATTGAATTGTTCCCCCAAAACGTGGTGTCAGTCCTCACCTCTGTGCCTGTGGTTAGAATCCCTCTGGGAGTGGGTCGTCTTTGTTATGCTAACGGACAGGACTAGCGCAGGGTCTTTTGAGCGGAGCTCTTTAGAGGTATAAGAGAGTACCGTGTTTTTATGCAAATAATTCACCCATCATATGCTTTTTGGCCAACGTGCAACCCAGTGGGAATGCTATATGCAAAAAAAAAAAAAAAAAAACAAACCACCATACAGTAAACGCAACGTAGCAGAGATGGCGCGAGACCGAGGAACCAGAGGCTGGAGAGACGAGGCCTTCCTCCAGAGCCGAGCGCGAGCCTCCCCGAGAGCCGGTGCTCTGAAGGGGCACCGCCGGCCTCCTAACCCGCGAGAACAAACGTGCTGGGAGAGCCGCCCGCCCGTGGCGCCTCCGTGACGGCAGAACTGGAGAAGTGGTGGTGGAGCCCCAAGCACCCCTATGTTTATTTTTTATGTACATGATGAGAGCTGGAAGGGGACCTGTTTGCCGCTGGTCACGCCGGAGAGACAGATGAGAACGCCAATCTGAAAGCGTCCCATGAACCGACGGGACTCCAGGCGGATCTTGCCCAACGCTGTGAATTCCCAGGAGCATAGAAGGCACAGAGATTGAGATCACCAATTAGAAAAAGTCACAAATAGGGGGACAGAGGGAGCAGTGGGCTCACCTTCCGGAAGGGACGCTGGCGCCCACGGGCTGCTGGCAGCGAGCCCCCCCACCCCTCCCGATTAGCGACTGCGCACGTCAGCTGCGCCCTGCTCGGAGCCGACTCGCCGCCAGCGCTGCTGCTGTGCCCCCGGCTCGGCTCGGTGTCGTCTGCGCCCGTTTCCTCGTGCGAAGAGAGTCCCTCCTCTGGTCTTCCTACCGGGGCCTGCCTGACTGCTGGACTGCCGGGCAGGTGGCTGCTGGGAGCATGCCCTGGCCCTCCCTCACCGTGTGTGTGTGCGTGCATGTGTGTGCATGTGCACCTGTGTGTCTGGGGGGGCGACAGATGTGCCCGGCCACCCTCTCAGCCTTATTGTCTGGACGGTCACCGTGTGCTCAGTGTATCCATGAAGCTGGGTGTCACGCCCCCGCAGTGATCCTTCGGACTCTCCTGGCCGTGATCTCGAGGGCAGTGTGTCCAGAACAGAGGGCCCCTTCCCTCACCGGGACGGCCACAGGTCTGGAGCATTCTCCCGGAGCGATGCCGGGCTTGCGTTGGGCTGTGCCCGTGTGGAGGCCCACGCCGTAGCTGCAGTTGAGGTCTGTCTGCCTGCAGTGGCTTGGTGAGCCCTGCGGCAGCCCATCCCATCGATGGCCCATTACCCCGGGGGAGACGGCAGTGCTGTGTGGAGACAGACTCCACTGTGTGAAAATCCAGCCTCCCGACGGGGGAGCCCACACTGGCATGAGGCCGCCCCCCGCGTGGGGGAGCTGGCTCAGGGGTCCTGCGGTTCCTACTGCGTACGCAGCCTTAACTGCTTCCTCTCTGTCGTAGAAAAGTGACCAAAGTCCAGGAGCGGGGTACAGGGAGCTCGGGGGGCAGGGGCCACCCACCGCCCTCACCGGCCCTCGTCCCCGGCCGGCGGCTGCAGGTGGGCAAAGCCCAGGAAGACCTGCTCCAGTGAGATCTGGCTCACGGAGTAGTCGTCCACGCAGTGCTTCTCCGTGGCCTTCTCCAGAACGCCGAACACCTGCAGAAGCAGACGCCGCCGTCACGGGGCCTGGGGGCCTGGCCACAGGAGGGGCTGGGCGGGCTCAGCCACTCGGAGGGGGCTGACAAGGCCCCCTGCCGCCCCCTGATCAGCCGGTCCAGGCCCCTGCTGGGCTCCTGGGGCGGGGCCCCCCAGCTCTGCCCCCAGCTCAGGAGGGTGCAACCTTGAGCCAGTTTTTTTGGTCACTGAACTTGATACTCCGGGTATCAAACCAGGAGCCCAGTGTGCACCAGATGCGAGTTGCCCATGAGATGCAGGGACTGAAGGTGACCGCAAAGAGGGAGGGCTGGCAGCTGGAGGGGAGTGTCCGAGTCGGGCCTGGTGCACTCACCTTCGCCCAGCTGAGCCCCGGGCCCGGCAGGTGGTAGTGGACCATGCCCTGATGCTCATCCTCCAGGACGCTGCCTGCAGGAGGGAGACCGTGTCCCAGGAGGGGGCGCCCGGCAGGGGAGGCCCCGGATGCCCCCGGGGGGCTGCCTGCGCACGCACCTGGGAAGGTCAGGTCCACGAAGGCCTTGAACTCCTCCAGCGCCGCCTTCTGCCCGTCGGCCCGGATCTTGGCCCGCAGGGAGTAGCCGCTGCCGAACTTGCTCTTGAGGTGCTGTGGGCTGCCCAGGCACTTGAACTGGCCCTGCACCATGATGGCCAGCCGCGTGCACAGGGCCTCACACTCCTCCATGCTGGGGGAGAGGCGGGGGGCGGGCCTGAGAGGGGCAGGCACACGCCACGGGGCCAGAGGCTCCAGGCAGGAGGTGCTGGCGCCCAGATCAGCCTGTTCCTGATTCCCACACACGGCGCGTGGTCCATGAGGCAGAGCCCGGGCCCCCTCGCCCATCTCGCCCCACCCGCCCACCCCGAGAGATCCGGCTCTACCTGTGGGAGGTGATGACGATGGCCTTGCCGGACTCGCGGGCCCGTGCCACCGTGTCCCAGAGCAGACGCCGGGCCACGGGATCCATGCCAGTGGATGGCTCGTCCAGGAAGATGACGGCGGGGTCTCCGATTAGGGCGATGCCAGCACTTAGCTTCCTCCTGTTCCCACCGCTGGGGGCAGAGGGGCCAGGGGACAAGACCGGTAACTGCTCAGGCTTCTGGGTCTCGGCTGAACCCTGTCTCCGGGACCCCAGCACCGGGGGGCGGGGCGGGAGGGGCAGGTGGGCTGAGCCTGGAAGGCTGGCCTCACACAGGCTGGGGCCCCGGCGAATGCTCTGTGCTGAGTGGGGCTTGACTGGGTGACTCCTCCATGGCCCTCCCCTGGCACCGTCTGGGGCCTGGGTCAGGCCTTTAGGTGCCCCCAACTCTATGCCCATGGGAAAGGCACGCCAGTTGGCACACCTGTAGGTCCTGACCAGCTTGTCGGCGTGTGGTTCCAGGAGCAGGCCCCGCAGTGTGTTGTCCACACAGGCTCCGATGTGGCGCTCGGGGACGCCCCGGAGCCGGGCGTATAGGACGAGCGTCTCCCGCGCCGTCATGTGGTCCAGCAGGGCGTCAAACTGCGGGCAGTAGCCAACACGCTGCCGCACCTGAGGGGACAGGCCGGGCCGGGGCCGGTCAGTGGGGGACAGGGATGCGGGAACGGGCCTTCCTGCCCGGCCCGTCTCTCAGAGTGGCCTCTCCAGGTGACCCGCCGCGCCACACAGCAGCCCCTGGTGCCTTCTGAGCGGTGACTGCAGGGAAACTCGGAGGTGTGCATCCCTTGGAGCTGCTCCCTAGACCGACACCATGGGGACCCCACACCGAAGGTCAGGTCTTGGAATGTGGTCTGTGGCCAGCAGCCCTGGGCAGGTCGTGCAAGGAACACGAGCTGACTGTGCAGAGTGACCGTCACGCAAACGGCTTGGCTGAGTGCCGCATGTACCCCAGCACCCACAGCCACATGCACCCCAAACCCAGCACCCATAGCCACATGCACCCCACACCTGGGGCCACACACACCCCAAACCTGGCACCTGCGGCCACACACATACCCCAACCCCAGTACCCACATCCACACGCACCCCAAACCCAGCACCCATAGCCACACATACCCCAAACCTGGGGCCACACATATACCCTAACCCCAGTACCCACGGCCACATGTACCCCAAACCCAGGGCCACATGCACCCCAAGCCTGGCACCCACAGCCACACGCACCCTTCACCTGGGGCCACACACACCCCAAACCCAGCACCTGGGGCCAGATGCTCCCCAAACCCAGCACCTGAGGCCAGATGCTCCCCAAACCTGGCACCTGGGGCCACATGTACCCCTCACCCAGGACCACATGTACCCCAAACCTGGCACCCGGGGGACATCCTTTTGTCAGATGGCAGGACTCTGTTCCTGGGCACGTGGCCATAGCCCAGCAGAGCCAGGAGGCCGTCCCGGGCTTTGGGGTGGAGCGTGTGCATGGCCACCACCCGCCCTCAGAGCTGGTGGGGTGGGTGTGTCCGCCGAGACTGAGTCTCTCTCTGCCCTCCCGGGGCTCTGAGGCTTCCGCGCTAGTAGTAAGGTTGGCAAGCGCTGGGCTGTGGCCTCCCCCGGGCTCTGTGCCTGTCTTTCGCATACGCGGGGCAGTGGGACGAGTTGGGGAGGGGGACGCCGCAGAGCACGGCCCCCAGATCCCAGCAGCAGCCACTGGCCTGGGCCCAGGCTGTTCTCCCTCCCTCCTCCTCCCCTCGGTTCGGCTGCTCAGGCCCACGGCCTCATTCCGCGGTCCCCCTACTCCGGCTCAGCTGGGTCTGACCCACGACACCCGCATGTGCTGTGACCCGAGGGCCCATCACCAGCCTGCCCATCTCAGGGCACCCTCCTGGGGGTGGGCCCCGGCCTGTGCGCCCACCTTTCCAAGGCTGGAGCGGACACTGTGTCCCCCGACAAAGGCATCCCCCGAGGTGACAGTCTCCTCCCCGGTCAGCATCTGGAAGGTGGTGGTCTTGCCGGCCCCGTTGAAGCCCAGGAGACCGAAGCACTCGCCCTTGTGGACTGCGAGCGAGAGCCTGTCCACAGCTCGGAGGGGTGTCTGCTGCCCGTACACCTGTGCCGTGCGAGGAAACGGGTCAGGGCTCTGGTCCCTGGCCCCCAGGCAGCGCCTAGCCCTGAGGCTGGCCAGAGTCCCTGGGCCACCTTGGAGAGCTCCCTGATGAGCAGCGGCGGGTCCCGGGGTGGCGGGTCCAGCGTTTGGGCCAGCACTCGGCTCCTCTCGTCCATCACGTCCCGGTCTTCAGGCAGCGCTGGTGCCCAGCCACGTGCCCCTGTCTGACATCCAGGACACAGACGGTGAGTGGAGCTGGGGCAGGCAGCTGAGTGGGGGTGGCTCTGGTGCCCATGTAGGTAGGAGTGGAGGCCAGACTCGAGGCTGCTGCAGGGCCAGGTGAGGCCCAAAGCATCAAGGCCACAGACCACCAGGGGGGCTGGCAGAGGGTCACAGCTGCCCGTGGGGTCAAAGGAGGCCTTATCCTGGGAGCAGACACCATCCAGAGTCAGCCAATGGGCCAGCTTATGAGGGAACCCAGCAGCTCTCTGAGCTTGCTGCTTTGTCGGCGGCAGAGGATGGGAAATAGCCAGACATGGAGGTACCTGCCTGCCAGGCCCCTACCCTGTCCCCGCCCAGGCTGGGCGTCCCGGGCTTTGGGGCCTGACTCCTACTGAGAAATGGTGCCACACTGCAACATCGGCGTCTTGTGACCGGGGACATCACTCATGAGTCCCGAAGGTCATCGCCCAGGCGGGGGGTGACCTTGCAGTAGCCAACTGTGGACGTGAACCCCGCCCTGCCCCATGGCTCTGTGGGGAGCCGCTGCTGTGGGGGTGCTGATGGGCACAGAGCTGGCTGCCCCGTCCTGGCAGAGGTGGGAGGTGTGGCAGCTTCTTCCTGGGCGCCCAGGGGGTGCTCACCAGCGTCCCCGGGCCCCCAGGAAGGCACTCAGCACCGTCCCCCAGCCCCGGACGGCACTCACCGGCGTCCCCCGGCCCCGGAGGGCACAGAGAAAGGTCTTCAGCCGCCACAGCAGGCTGGTCTCCAGCAGGAAGAGCAGCGTGAGGTACACGAAGCCCGAGATGGCCATGGAAGTGACAAACCTGCCGACGCCCGGGGCCCTCCACGCGTAGAAGTTCTCCTGGTACTCGATGTCTGAGGGGCGGGGACACGGCATCACCCTGCGCTCTGCCACCCCCGCCCGGGCCTCCTGCCCCCCAGGCCCTGGCAGGGGGGTAGTGGACGGAGCGTCCGATGGCACTGCTCCCCAGGGGCTGCCGGTCTGGAAGGGGCGGGCCCGGGAGGCGGAGGCCTGCCCCGTGCAGCGCGGGGCATGACCCCGACGTGTCTGGGCATCACAGTGGTGAGACAGGCCACCCGGGGAAAGGGGCATCTGGGTTGAGCTCACAGAGGGTGGGAGCGGGCCAGATGGCAGGAGAGCTGTGGCCGGAGCAGCCCAGGCCCTCTGCTGGGCCCTCGCGGCGGGGCTGGCTGCAGACACTCACGGTACTTGCGGCAGTAGTGGGCGGCGACCTCGGAGGAGGTGCAATACCTCCTGGTCTCATAGTTCTCGTAGAAGCTGCTGACGGCCATGCCCAGGCAGTGGTTGGGCAGCGCCAGGAACACCTGGTCCAGGGTTCTGGAGAGCTCCTGCAGCTTGACCGCTGGGGGGACACATGGGGCTGGCTCGGCCGCATAGGACACCCCAGGTGCCAAGCGCAGAGACGGCTGGTTGCGGCGTCCCCGCAGTCCTGAGACTCTCCAGCCCCCTGGCAGGTACCCACTGAGACGTCCTGCCACCGAGGGGCTGGCGGGTGCTGCCAGCTCCCCACTCTGAGGGTGGTGGCAGAGGGCGTGGGGGTCCTACCTGGGATGCGCATGACGGTGACCACGAGGAAGGTGGCGACGCCCGAGAGGACGTTGAAGATGGTCAGGCGCGTGTAGGCGGTGGCCGGGCCCGAGAACAGGAAGCTCGTCGTGTACATGAGGGGGATGGCGGCCCAGCCATAGAGCATCAGCAGTGCCAGGGCATCGGCCTCGTGGCTGTCCCGCGTGAACGCGTGCACGTCGAAGGCCTTGAACACCACCTGCAGCACGGATGCTGCTCAGGATGAGAGGCGCTGGGCGGGGCGTGGGGAGCGGTACAGGGACCAGCCAGTGGCCGCCACCCATCGCCCAGCCCCACGGCTGTGTCCGTGCCTGTGGCAGCCTCAGTCTTGGACCCCTTCTGTCACCAGGGCCCCATGACAGGCCTGCCCACCCACGGCTGGGGCTTGGCAGGGACGAGAGGAGCCGGCGGAGAGGGTTGGGGGCTGTGCCAGCTCTGCTTCTGGGCAGTGCTTCCGGTCAGCCTTCACCTGCAGGGGAATGCTGACCCTGGCACCCCCAGCAGCAGGAACAGGCTGGGGGCCACTTGGCCAGCCCCCCACCTGTAGGGGACCCCACCCCGTGCTCACCAGCAGCAGCAGGCTGGGGACCAGGAAGGTGATGAGGTCCCACAGCAGGGCAGAGAGCCAGAAGGTGGCCACGTGGACGCCGCTGACGAACTGGACGTGCTTGGCGTGGGTGGCCCTCTCACTGACTGCCAGGATGGAGAAGGTGCTGGCCAGGAATGCCATGGCAAACAGCAGATTGAGGGCAATGTCAAAACCCTTCCGGCCCCTGCAAGACAGGCGTCAGGGAGGGCGCCATCCTCACCCACGCTGCAGTGTCCGTGTGCCGGCCCCAGCACAGCCCCTCCTCCAAGCCTCTGTCCCCCGCGCCCCACACGCACGTGGGTGACAGTGCCACCTCAAGCACTGGCCCCTGTGGGACCTCCTGCCGCGCCTGCTGGTGAAGTGGGGGCTGGACAGGGTGGGGGGGCACACGCACTCGCTGAACTGGTCCTTGGCGGCCTGCAGGGCGCTCCGGGGCTGCGGGTGGTTGGAGACGGAGATGGAGGCGCGGGGGCCGCACAGCAGCCGGAAGAGCAGGTTGTCCACCAGGGCCAGCGCGGTGGCCGGGGAGTGGTACGCCTGGTTGTTGAACAGGGCGGTGACGACCATGTGTGCACCCACGGCTCTGAAGGATGTCGCCACCAGACAGCGCTCGTTAAAGCCCGCGCCCTCCACGGAGGCCCTGAAGATCAGGAACTCCTCCAGGTCACCTGAGGACAGCAGCTGGGTGGGCCGTGGGCCGGCACGTGGACCCCGGGGCATCCACACCAAGGAACCCGCCCTCCTGGGAGCCCCACGGGGATGGAGCCCTGGGCCCAGAGCAGGTGTGCGCACTGCACGCGGGTAGCAGCTGGAGTGGAGGCTGCAGGGCTGATGTGAGCACCTGGTACCAGCTCCACGTGGCCAAGGGCCCGCCCCACTGAACGGACAGTGGCAGCGACACAGTCACTGCAGGACCCACAGGAGCCGGCAAAGGACAGAGCCACCCTCGAGACAAAAACACTACACGCAGCAGAGCCGTCTGCACCCGCAGGGCTGCACCGGCAGGAAGGACGACACCAGGCCCGGCGGCCCACCTCACCCACAGCACAGCTGGCCTCGCTGCCCACCTGGTCCAGATGCCCACCTGGCCTACATGGCACCCCTCGCCCAGCTGCCACCTGGCCCACACAGCACACCTGGCCTAGCTGCCCACCTGGTCCATACAGCACACCTGGCCCAGATGCCCACCTGCCCCACAAAGCACACGGCACATCTTGCCTGGCTGCCCACCTGGCCCACGCAGCACAGCTGGCCCAGCTGCCCACCTAGCACATCTGTCCTGCCTGCCCACCTGGCCCAGGTGCCCACCTGACCCACACAGCACGCCTGGCCTGGCTGCCCACCTGGCCCACATGGCACACCTGGCCCGAGTGCCCACCTGGCCCAGCTTCTGGCGGCCCTTACCCAGCACCTCACGGGGCTCCTGGCCCCCAGCCTGTAGCACATCTCTCAGGTGCTCAGACAGCTGCTGGTCCAGCCGGGACGTCCCAGGAGCTGAGTAGGGCACCACAGTCCTGCCGTATGCTCCCAGGGTCAGCTCCAGGCTGGGGTCGTCCAGGAGCTCTGAGGAGTAGTTGATGGCCAGGAGGGCTAAGGTGAGACACGTCAGAGGGACCAGGACCTGGGCCGCCAGCACCTTCCACTCCCGCCAGCTGTAGGCGGCCTTCTTCAGGAACATGGCCCAGAACTGCTGGCAGTGCAGGGCAAGCTGCGGACAGGCAAGTGTGGGGTCACAGGGACTGGCCACCACCCGGGGCCTGCCGCCTCTGCACCCCACTGCTCCACGCTTGAGACAGCACCGGGGCTGGGGACCCCTGCTTACGTGCCAACAGATGGCGTTCCCTACCACTTGCCCGTATCCACCACTGCCGCCCATCACTTCCCTCCAAGAGCAGAAAGCAGGGACCTGCCCGGCTCTGTGCTGCCAGCTGTCCACTGTGCTTTCCTGACTCTACTATGGAGCGGGCCGGCCTGTGAGCATGGCACGGGCACACGGCTTGTTTTCCTGGCCACGGCACCATGTCACAGTAAGCCTTCCTTGACTCTGCCCCCGTTCCCAGAGAACATCAGGAAGCGGCAGCTGCTTGACTAGCATGCTCCGGGGTTCCGTCTCCCTGTCCCTGAGTCCCGGAGCCTGAGCCGCCCACGTGGGCTCTGCCTGGTTGTCAGCCTCACCCTTCCGCCCGTCAGCATGATGCCTGCTGGCTGCCCACCCCGGTGTTGAGCTGGACGGCGGTGTAGTCCTCTTCAATGAGGGCCCCGTCGCCGTCGCTGGGGTCCGTCACGCCGCAGAGGTTGCTGTCAGCTGCCCAGTCACTTGCCCTGCGCTCATGCTGGTACCGCAGGGCCGGGAGCTGGATGGCCTGGATGTCCATGCTTGTGTCCACCAGCTTGCCGACCCTGCACCGAGACACGTGTGCGTCGGTTAGAGGCGGCTCGCCGGGGGAGGAGTGCAGCTCTCGTTCACCCCGGAAGAGGATGTGGGTCCGAGTGCCACCAGCTGCTTCGCTCATTCCTTTGCTGATGCGTGCAGTGACTGTGGACCAGCAGGAACCGAGGCTGGGGCCAGAGGGGCCCGGGAGCCCATAGGAGACATGAAAACAGACACTCGAGACATCGAGTGACCCAAGGTGGGAGCTACCATTTTGGTATCAGCCAGCTCTCCTGCTGCCAGGAACCCACCCAACAGACAAGGACACATGCACCCATTCCTCCTGCGCCATTCACCTACCATCTGTGATGTCGTTAGTCTACATCCCCAACTACTTATCAGCTCTCTTTCTGCCTGTCATCCATCTCTCTAACCTGTCACCCCTCTCTGCCTGTCACCCATCTGTCATCTCTCTGCCTGTCATCCATCTCTCTAACCTGTTACCTCTGTCAGTCATCTCTCTAACCTGTCACCTCTCTGCCTTTCATCTAACCTGTCATCTCTCTCTCTGCCTGTCCATCTCTTGTCACCTCTCTCTGCCTGTCAGTCACCTCTCTAACCCGTCACCTCTCTCTGCCTGTCACCCATCTCTCTAACCTGTCACCTCTCTGCCTGTCATCTAACCTGTCATCTCTCTCTCTGCCTGTCATCTAACCTGTCACCTCTCTCTGCCTGTCAATCATCTGCATCTGTCATCTCTCTCTGCCTGTCATCCATCTCTCTAACCTGTCACCTCTGTCAGTCATCTCTCTAACCTGTCACCTCTCTGCCTGTCCATCTCTGTTACCTCTCTCTGCCTGTCAGTCATCTCTCTAACCTGTTACCGCTCTGCCTGTCATCTAACCTGTCACCTCTCTCTGCCTGTCATCCATCTCCCTAGCCTGTCACCTCTCTCTCTGCCTGTCATCCTTCTCTCTCAGCTACCGTCTGTCTCTGGGTGTCTGAGCTCACAACTGCTGTGACTGCTTTGTCCTCGTGCTGTAGAAACACTGTCCGTGTCACCGAGCCTCGGACTGACCGCAGGAAGACCTCCTCCATGGTGGTGACGGAGGCCCCGAAGCTCGCAATGCCCAGCTCCTTCTGCTGCTTCTCCAGTTTAGCAAAGAGGCTTTCAAACCTGGACCAGAAAAGACCCCCGATCAGTCCCACCTCACGGACTTTCCAGATAACCTGATCCTAAACCAGTGCCCCGTGGGACAGAGTGAAGGGAGGGTCAGCCCCAGATATGCCATTTAGGAAGAAACAGAAAAGAGAAGCTCTTCTGTATGGTTTGTTCTGAGTGACATCTCCTGAGTATGCTGACCTGCTGGAGGTTTTTGGACGGCAAACACCTCACTGAAATAGATAGCATCACAACGGGGAGAACAAGGGGTGTTCACTTGATCGCAGGGAAAGAAGCACTGTCTCAACATCAAGCTAAGGGAAGACTCACAGAGGAAAAGGTACAAAGAGACCAGGCTGACTGGTCTGATGGAGACTGGTGGGACCCCCAAGCCTGCAGGCCTCAGACAGCCTTCAGGCCCGGAACTGAACTCATCCCCACAGCTCAACTTTCACCAAACAATAGACAGACCTATAAGGTGCAACCAGGGAGGTGCCCAGTCCTTCAGAGCACCAACCAGACGAAATTGAAAGGGCGGCATCTGTCCCGGGGGAAAGCTCAGAAGGCAGGAAGGAACAGGAAAGGAGGAATGAAAACAGGAACCAGGGAAGAGGGCTAATAGCGTGGGGACAGCAACCAGTATCACAAAAGGTGTGTGAGCTGTGTAATGCAAAACCAATTTATTCTATAAAATTGCACCAAAATCACAAAAAAAGCTAAAAAGATAAACTTAACATATTAAAGGTAAAACACTTGTAGGAAAAAAAAAAAAAAACTCATAGAATTAAAAGACAACAGCAAACCAGAGAAAGTTCCAACCACAGTGATGTCAACACACAGGGAAACAATGAGTCCAAGGGACTAGTGGACCCCGCGAACCTCAGCCTGTATGATCACGAGACCAGAAGAACTACATGGTGCCTGGCTACTGCCGTCAACCACTCGGAGGGGGATCAGTGCAGGAGGTCCTGGAGAGAGTGGAGAACAATGTGGAACTAAACTCGAAACCAGAATAAAAGACCAGGTTTGCTGGTGTGACAGAGCCCAGCGAGACCCCTGAGACTAGGGCCCCTGGTTCCCCTTCAGGTCTGGAACTGGGTTCACTCCTGTGGCTTCTAGTCAAACAACAGACAGACATCAACAGACAGACATCTGGGGTGACATTTACATCAGGAAGATACACTCTGTGGAGTAGTCAATCGTGGGAGATCAGAAGGGCAGTGTTTGCACAAGGAGGCAGCTCAGGGGGCAGGAATGCATATGAAAGAAGGACACAGGGAAGAGGTAATCACAGGGAGGAAGTGGGAAGAGAGCTGTTACATTGTGTGGATTGCAGTCAATGTCATGAAACAAAATGTGTATGAACTGCTGTGCAGAAAATGAATTTTCTCTGTAAACTTTCACCCAAATCACAATAAAAAAGAGAATAAAAATGATGTCAACATAGTGAGCACCCATCAAGCGGGCAGAAGACTCGAGTAAAGCATCCGCAGAACAGCACTGCTCGCAGCCGGTGAGTGTCGGGACGGTCAGCCCCTCCTGGTCGTGGAACAAACCAGAAACGCAAACCAAGAGACTCTCCACCGTGACCCGGTGTCAGCACGTTGCTTCGACCTCACGGCCACCTGTGTGGCAGACCAGAGCTGCCTTGCAGGGTTTCCAAGGCTGTCACCCAGACGGGAGCAGACGGACAGGGCCTTCTCCCACAGCATTGCTGGTCGGTTCGAACCGCCGACCTTGTGGTTAGCAGCCACGTGTCTAACCATCGCACCACTGTTGTCGTTGTTATGTGCTGTTGAGTCGGCCCTGACTCAAAGTGACCCCTCCTTGGGTTTCCGAGGCAGTATCACTACAGAAGTAGATTGCCCGATCTTCCTTCTGAGGAGTGGCTGGTGGGTTGGAACCGCCAGCCTTCTGATTAGCAGTCAAGTGCCTTAGGCACTATGCTACCAGGGCTCCCTACTGCACCACTAGAAGTCCTTATTTCACCACTGGATACACAAATACTAAAACGAAACGTCTTCCTCCAAGCCGACTACCTTGGAATAAACTAGACCCTCTCCTCATACTCTGCTGATGGGGCAGCCCAGCGGTGATTCCTAGACCATATTCACAGCTCCACTGGGAGTCGGTCCTCAGAGGCTACCAGAGACAGACAGACGGGGCTTCAGATGTGGGGGTTGGGAAGCATGTGGGAAGCAAGCATGAGTTATGGTAACAGAGCATGTCCCCAGGAGCCGCACTGCAGCCCTCAGCCCTGCACTGTGGATGGGACCTTGTTGAGAAACAGGGTTTTACCGTGCAGATAAGACCAGGACGCCAGAGCGTGGAGAAGAGAGGGGCATTTTTAAGCCTTGGAGCCTGATGAGCTGTGTGCTGCTGGCTTCAGGCCGGCCTGGTACCCGTGCCCTGCCGTCCCTTCCCCGCTCCCCTCTGGACTGGGAACAGCGCCTCACGCCTGCTTCTCCACTGTGCCCTGGAAGCAGCTGCCACGGGCCACGGTGGGGAGGAGCCGTGCTCCAGGGCAGACCACAAAGTCGCCACATCGGGTTCAGGTGATTCAAAAGATGAGGTTTGAACTTGGTGTGGACACTGGAGTAAGGGGTGAAGGCTGCTGGGGTTGCTGTTGGCCGGGGACCTGGGGCAGCTCTTGGCTGGACCTCCGGGGCAGCAAGCGCCTGAGTTCTCTCTGGACCGCACCATGTGCTCTCTCTGCGCCTCACTGTGTATTCTCTCTGCACCTCACTGTGAGGCCTCTCTGCACCTCACTATGTGTGCTGTCTGTGGGCCATACCGTGTGCTCTGTGCACCTCACTGTGTGTGTTCTCTCTGGGCTGCACTGTGTACTCTCTCTGCGCCTCACCGTGTGCTCTCTCTGGGCCGCACCGTGTGTCCTCTCTGCAGCACACTGTGTGTGTTCTCTCAGCTGTATCTGTGAAGGCCTCTCTGCACCACACTGTGTTCTCTCTGGCTGCCCTGTATGTGTTCTCCCTGGGCCACCCTGCGTGCATCCTCCCTGGGCCGTACCTGGGTGTGCTCTCCTTGGGGAGGATGAAGGACAGCTCAGCCCCAGCGTTGCTCTCCAGGGTGGCATTGGGGACATGGTCGCAGACCAGTTGGGAGATGGCCTCCGGGTCACAGTGGGGCTCTTTCACGAGGGTCATGTGGTACCCTGCACCTGGAACACGGGGCAGACACACGTCAGCAGCTTGGCCACGACTTTCCACACCACCTCCTGGGCCTGCTGGGTCAGGGCGCCTGTGTGAGCCAGGCCCACGCAAGGTGGCCTCCAGAGCAGGGACCCTCCCTGCTGGGGGACCTGGGTGCCGTCCTGGGGTCCTCTCTGTTTCCCAGCTGGGAGGAGATGCTGGTGCAGTGGGGCGGTGGGCTCCATAACAAGCCCCCGACTACACAGTCCACTGGGATGACACGGGCTCCCGGGGCCAAGACCGAGGGTTACTGCAGGCACAGTGTTGGCAGGAGCAGCTGAAGGGTGTGTTTGTGAGGCGACCCACATGCTTTGCGGGCACTCCCTGTCCACGGACGGATGCACGCTAAGCATCAGGACTCCTGGGTGAGCATGAGAGGAAGATGGTGGCTGGCAGGGCAGAAGGGCCAGCAGCACCGTAGGGTCTCCTCACACAGGGCGCCCGGTGCAGGCTGTGCCTGCCTCTCTCGGGCACTGCCACGCGGCGGGCACTGGCTCCTGGGCGTGCGTCCGAGATGAGGATGAGGGAGCCTGCAGCACAGTGCCCGGCCGAGAGGCGCGGAGGCGGGAACTGGGCCCTGTCCCCCAGAAGCCCCGCCCCCTCACCTGGCTGCTGGACACACTGCTGCCCAGCCTCCCGGACGCTGACCTTGGACCAGACAGCAGTGCCACAGGCCTGGAGGGCGCGTCGGCAGGGCACGCTGGGGACAGGACCCCGACACACAGGGTTGCCTGCTGCGCCTGCCCACCCGCCGGCTCCTTCACCACTGTCACAAACCCTCTCCACGCCCGCTGGCTGTGGGGCATCGGCTGGCACGGCGGGGGCTCAAACACACATCCGCCGGCCCCTTCACCGCTGTCACAAACCCCCTCCCGCCCGCCGGCCGGCGCTCACCGTACTTCTGCTTGAGGAACAGCGGCGACCCGCAGCACTGCAGCTCCCCCTTGGCCATGATGGCGATGCGGTCCCCCAGCAGGTCGGCCTCGTCCATGAAGTGGGTGGTCAGCAGGATGGTGCGCTCACTCTTCTGCTGCTGGAGCAGGTCCCAGATGGCCCTCCGGGAGACGGCGTCCATGCCCGACGTGGGCTCGTCCAGCATCAGCACCTGAGGGCGCGGGGCAGCCTGGTGGTGCCGGCAGGGTCCCGCCGGGTGGCCCACGGCCAAGTCCAGGGAGACACAGCCCAACTGCCCCACGCAGGTTTCCCTTCTGTGGTGCTGCTTGGGGGGCTGGCTGCCTGTGGTGAACGGGGTCGGGGTCGGGGGGTGTGCGGTGAACGGGTGCATGCGCACGAGGGGCCCTACCTTGGAGCCCGCGATGAGGGCGATCCCGATGGACAGCTTACGCCTCATGCCCCCGCTCAGGAGCCTGCTCAGGGAGTCCTGCTTGTCCTCCAGCTCCAGGACACGCAGCATGTGCCGCACCTCCGCCCAGGACTTGGCCAGTGACAGGCCCTTCAGCTGCAATGGGGGGCCACGGGGCGGTCGGGGGCTGTGACGGAGGCTGACCCCCTCAACAGTGGGGCCACGGGGCGGTCGGGGGCTGACGGAGGCTGACCCCCTCAGTTGTGGGGCCACGGGGCAGTCGGGGGCTCTGACGGAGGCCGACCCCCTCAATGGTGGGGCCACGGGGAGGTCGGGGGCTGTGATGGAGGCTGACCCCCTCAACGGTGGGGCCACGGGGCAGTTGGGGGCTCTGACGGAGGCTGACCCCCTCAAACAAGCGTTGTGCTTGTACACAGTTTAAACAGATCCAAGAAAAACACACAAGAAACCAACAACCTTCAGGCAAAGGAGGCAGAAGGGCTTTTGTGTTTTGAACACATAAGCATCTGACTTTGGAAAAGTGAGTCCAGCAACAAAGTCACAGGATTAGACCCCAGGACCAAGGAGCTCTGGTCACCATGGGTACCGCATTGGACCAAAAGGTCAAGCGGTTCGAACCCACCAGCCGCTCCACAGGAGAAAGGTGAGGAGGTCAACTTCTATCAAGACTGACAGCCTTGGAGACCCTGTGGGCAGTTCCACTCTGTCCTCTAGGGGCGCTGTGGGTCAGAATGGACTCCAGGGCAGTGGGTGTGGTTTGGGCTTTGCTTCTGTGAAGACTGACAGCCTTGGAGACCCTGTGGGGCAGTTCCACTCTGTCCTCTAGGGGCGCTGTGAGTCAGAATGGACTCCAGGGCAGTGGGTGTGGTTTGGGCTTTGCTGCTATAAAGATTGACAGCCTTGGAGACCCTGTGGGCAGTTCCACTCTGTCCTCTAGGGGCGCTGTGGGTCGGAATGGACTCCACGGCAGTGGGTGTGGTTTGGGTGCCCTACGACTAAGTAGGACTGATCCCAGGAATGCCTGAGAGCAGTTTTCCCACGACAACACTCTGCTCAGGTTCTTGCCTCCTGGCCACCCACCGTCCTTGTCCCAAAGACGATGGAGCCAGGTGTGGGGAGGCCAGGAGCACCTGCAGCCACTGGAGAAAGGTGAGCATGTGAGCAAACAGGGTGGCGTCGGCAAGGAGGCCAGGCCCCGCGACTCACCTGGGCGAAGAAGCAGAGGTGCTCAGCCACCGTCAGGTCATCAAACAAGACGTCGTGCTGGGGGCAGAGACCCAGACTCCTCCGGATCCGAGCCATGTCCTGTGAAACCTCGTACCCACCGACGTAAGCCCGCCCGCTGCTCGGGGGGAAGAGACCTAGGAGAGGACGCGCGATGCTTACGTCGGCCTGAAGCGACGGCGCTGGGCCTGGCAGCAGCCCCCGTCCGATGCCCACTGCTTGGCTCTGTTTTGCCCAAGGCCCTGCCACCCAGTGAGTTCGGTGACCCGTCTTCCCTGTAGGACTGCATGGGGCCCACAGCCGGACTGCGTACAGGTCACAGCCTCACTGACAGCCACTTACCGGCTTTGCAAACACAAGGTGGAAAAGTGAGGTGGGGCCGGGGTGGTGACTCAGAAGTGAGGTGAGGTCTAGGGGCAGAGCCTTAGGGAAGTGAGGCGGGGCCTGGGGTGGAGCTTCAGCAAAGAGAGGCGGAGCTGGGGGCAGGGCCTCAGGGAAGTGCAATAGGCCAGGCAGCTGGCTCAGGAAAGCATGCAGCAGGATGGGCTTTGTGCTGGTTGGCGCCAGACGGTCAGCGTGTGGCTACTGGTTCTGCATGACACGAGAACTGGCCTGATTTGCTCATGATCTAAGCAGGCATTCATGAACAGGGGCTGAGGAGTACATGTTGTAATGGTGCTGCCAGGGGGCACAGCATGTCCTGCCCTCGGCAGTCCCAGGACCACAGAGGGACAGAGACCATGTCGGGGAGGAGGCTGTGGGGGTGGCCCAGAGCCCTGCAGCTTTACAGGAGCAGGCCTGTGAGCGTGGATGGGGCAGGGGTCTCCCTGCACCCAGCTCACCTGTGAGCACGGACAGGGTGGTGGTCTTCCCGGCACCGTTGTGGCCCAGCAGGACGGTGATCTGCCCCTCGTACAGGTTCAGGTTCAGGTCCCTGACGGCTGCCTTCCCCTTGTTCCCGACTCGGAACACCTGCACACACGCAAAGGGCCGCCCTTATTCCCCAGGGCCCTAGGGCCTCACCCCACTGCCCAAGCTCTCCTCTGGGCAGCAGAAGGCTGGGAAGGAGGCCACGCCCAGCGGCCGGGGCCAGTGGGCAGAGACGGCCCTGGTGAGACACGACTGCTCCCTGCCGCCCCTCCCTCCCCATGGTCCAGCCACCGGCTGGGTCAACAGAGCCACCTGGCAACATGTCTGCCAGAGGGCTGTGGGGGCTACGGGATCAGCACCTCGCCCTGGAGGTGCTGGGGGGCCGCGTGAACACTGCCCAAGCCCGTCTGCCTTGGTTCCAGCCCCAGCCCGGCCCACAGGGAGGGCAGCACCTTGGACAAATGCTTGATCTTGATGCCGGCCACCAGGTCCTCGGGCTCGGCCTCAAAGAAGCCCGTCCTGCAGGCTTTTTCCGGGTCTTCATCTTCATCCTCCTTCCCCAAGACGGTCCTTGGGCTCCCGCACCAGTACGAGGGCTAGGATGGAAGCAGATGGGTCACCATGGTCATTTCGTGTCCCCTCCTCTGGCTGGGAACACACAGCAGGGATGCACACAAGTGGCAACATGAGCTCTGTGCAGGCTCCCCGAGCGGCCCGTGAGCCTGTTGGAGCCCCAGTCGGGACCGGGTTCCGTTCTGCTCCTTGTTCCTGCAACCCCTTCAGAGGCTCTGGGTCTCAGAGTCCTGATCTGGTCGGTGGGCACAGGGCTCGCTCTCACTCACAGGCTTGTGAACGTGAGCTCACACCGCGCCGCAGGGGAGAGATGTCGGTAAACCAGGAAACCTAACACCTAGACAGGTGAGGAGCCGTTCCGCCTGGAGGGACGTAGGTCCAGAAATCCCAGGGAGCTGTGTCTCCGTGCGGCCGGCTGGGTCGGGTTCCCCTGCTCAAGCCCCACGAGAGCCATGTCAACAAGCAAGATGCCAAGTGGGCTGCCCCTGGGCGCCATCCAGCAAGAACTTGTCTCCCCGTCCAGCTGCCCCAGCGACCAGCCCCACAGGGGCTAACCGTGGACATACCAGCCCTCGCAGACATGGTGGGGGTCACAGAGCCACACACAAGGACAAGCCCATGGGCGGCAGGAGAGGGGATCCCCGCCACGGGCGAGCGCCAGGCGGGAGCTGGCTCCCAGGGTGCTGCAGTGTCCGGAACAGTGTCCAGAGCTGCCCAAGTGTTAGTTTTAAGAAACCTATTATTTTAAGGGCCTTTCAAATCAGCGTGCGTCTTAATATTGGCGGAATGCCACTGTTCCTGTGTTTCTACTGGTGGTGGTGGTGTTGTTATGTGCTGTCGAGTCGGACCCAACTCATAGTGACCCATGCTTGGGTTTCCGAGGCAGTATCACTACGGAAGTAGATTGCCCCATCTTCCTTCCGAAGAGTGGCTGGTGGGTTTGAACCACCAGCCTTCTGGTTAGCAGTCACGTGCCTCAGGCACTGTGCCACCAGAGCTCCCGGTGGTGCTGTCAGGGGCGTCAAGTCGGCTCTGACTCAGTGACCATGTGTACAACAGGATGAAACCCTGCCTGGTCCCACGCCCTCACAGTCCTCGCTGTGTTGGAGCCTGTTGGCGCAGCCACTGTGTCAAGCCGTCCCATGACGGTCTTCCTCTTTTCCACTGACCCTCTGCCTGACCAAACATGGCGTCTTTCTCCAGGGAACGGTCCCAGCTGACAACACGCCCAAGGTCTGTGAGGTGATCTTGTCCTCCTTCTAAGGAGCACTCTAGCTACACTGAGTCCAGGGCAGGTCTGTTCAGTTTTCTGGCCGTCTGTGGCTCAGGCAATACTCTCCATCAGCGCCGTCACTCAAAGGCCTCGATCGGTCCTCAGTCTTAGTCGCTCCTTATTAACTGACAGATGGGCGGTGGGTTTTTACTGCGAGTGACGGGCAAGACCACAGTTCATCCGACAGTCCGAGGCATCTGAGATCAGAAACGCCGGCTGGGCTGTCAGGGGCTGGGCCTCACAGAGGACGTGCTGAGGCTCTAGACGTGGGGCCTTCAGAGCGTGACCCGAGTTAGAAAAGTCCCGTCGTTGCTGGTGTGCAGGTGGCCCCTGTACTGCTCCTCGCAGGCACGCCACACTTCATTTCGCCTCACAGCTGCTTTTTTTTTTTTTTTTACAAATGGGTATGTGATGACCTGTGGGGGGCAAGGCCATTGGTGCCACTTTCCAACAGCAGGTGCTCATTCCTGTCCCTGTGTCCCATTTTGGTTGTTGTCACCACATCTCATGCTTCTTCCATCGCGCTACAGCGTGCTTCATAGACTACGGTATTGTGTATGCACCACCATATGGGAAACTGAAAAACCCTGTGACTCACTTTATTGCGATATTCACTACGCTGCAGCAGTGTGGAGCCGACCCCGCAGTATCTCCGAGGTGTGCCTGCAGTTCGTTCAGATGGGGTCACACTGGGGCAGGGTGGGCCCTAATCCAGTGACTGCATCCTTGTAGGAGAGCAGATGGGGACACAGAGGAGAGCACCATGTGAGGACAGAGGCAGACGTGAGCGATGCAGGGGTGCCGGGGGCCCCGGAAGCTGGACGAGACAAGGTAGACGCTGCCCTGGGGCCCTCAGAGGACGTGTGGCCTGGTGACACCTCGATCTCGGACTGAGAGCACAGCTGGAGTTCTCAGCCCCAGCGCGTGGCCTCTGCCGTGGCCACCACGGGACACTCGCAGCCCCAGCGCGTGACACTCTGCCGTGGCCACCATGGGACACTTGCACGTGGACACTGTACCTCAGAGATATTGCGGGTTTGGTTCCAGACCAGCTCAATAAAGCAAACATCGCCATCAAGCAAGTCACATGCATTTTGTGGTTTCTCAGTGCGAGTGGAAGTTAACCTGACATGATGCTGCAGCCTATTAGGTGTGCAACTGAATGGTGAAAAAATGTGAAATGCCGTGAGAATGACCCAAATCGTACACAGACACAAAGGGAGCGCACGCCATTCAGAAAGTGGCGTCAGCAGAGCTGCTTGGCGCAGGGTCACCAGAAACCTTCTGTTTGTGAACACGCAGTGTCCAAGGTGCAGCAAAGCAAGGCACAGTAAAGCGAGGTCTGCCTGCATCGCCTGACATAGACGGACAGACGCACCTGACTCCACAGCAGCCGAGGTGAGTGACCCGGGCAGAAGTGCAACCGCACGGCGGGACCCTGCGCCACAGCCAGAAAACAGGGCCAGCTCAGAACAAGGCGATGTTGGAATAGAAACATAAGCAAATAAAGCAAAATGCACAGGGATGTGTAGAAAAACCTAACAAGTCAACTTACAAGCACGCATGCATGTCTATGTGTATTTAAGGTGTCAAACTACGGTTAGGTGAGAAACCAAGTTTCAGGCAGTATGAAAACATGATGTGTAACATGAAGGCAAATGTGTGCCATATATATGTATGTGCTATAAAGAAATACCATGTGTATGTCATAAGAGTGTATGCCTATCGCATACATATATGTTATAAAGGTGGGGTGTGCATGTGTCATAAATGTGTATGCCTGTCACATGTATGTATGTTATAAAGGACTGTGTGCATGTGTTAGAAATGAGTATGTCTGTCACATACATGCATGTTTTAATGTGTTGTGTGTGTGTCATAAACACATATGCCTGTCACATGCAAGTATGTGTTATAAAGGGCCATGTGCATATGTTAGAAATGTATATGCCTGTCACATATATGTATGTGATATAAAGAAGTGTCGTGTGCACACATTATAAACACGTATGCCTGTCACATGCATGTATGTAATATAAAGGGCCATGTGCATGTGTTAGAAACATGTATGCCTGCCACATCCATGTATGTTATAAGCATGCATGTGTGTCATACACATGTACATGTTAATACACATATAAGGAGCCTGATGATGCACAGGTTAAGTGCTTGGCTGCTAATTTCAAGGCTGTGGGAGAAAGACCTGAGGACCTGCCCCTGTGAAGATTACAGTCCAGAGAGCCGTGCAGTCCTCCTGCCACACATGGGCCGTCATGAGTCAGAACTGACTCTGTGGTCACTAAGAATGATGACAACATGTGTTAACGGGCACAGGTGTGAGCCGTCAGAGGAGGGCCACCGTGGCCCCTGGGTGGTAGATTGGTGTCTCCATGTCCTCTCTGGGTGGGGGACTGTGCTACGTCACCCTGCAATGCTCCAGCTTTTACAGGCTTAGTTTATAAAGAGCTCTGGTGATGCAGTGCCTAAAGCACTTGGCTACTAACCAAAATGTTGGCACTTTGAACTCACCAGCTACTCCATGGGAGAAAGATGAAGCAATCGACTTCCATAAAAATTGACAGCCTTGGAGACCTTCATAAGGAGCCCTAGTGGCACAATGGTTAAAGCACTCAGCTGAGAATTGATGGGTCAGCAGTTTGAACCCACCACCCACTCTGTGGAGAAAGATGAGGTAGTCAGCTTCCGGAAAGACTGACAGCCTTGGAGACCCCGTGGTGCAGTTCCACTCTGTCCTCTAGGGGTGCTGTGGGTCAGAATGGACTCCAGGGCAGTGGGTGTGGTTTGGGCTTTGCTTCTTTGAAGATTGACAGCCTTGGAGACCCTGTGGTGCAGTTCCACTCTGTCCTCTAGGGGCGCTGTGGGTCAGAATAGACTCCACGGTAGTGGGTGTGGTTTGGGCTCTGCTTCTGTGAAGACTGACAGCCTTGGAGACCCTGTGGGCAGTTCCACTCTGTCCTCTAGGGGCGCTGTGGGTCCAGGGCAGTGGGTGT